ACTCTTTCCACAGGTAAGTGCAGAATTGTGTCCTGGGGTCTAATTAACCTTGGTTGGATAGTATTTATACTGCAGCAGCAGTAGTAGTAGTATCGTGAGTAACTTAAAACAGTAGTACTGTAGCAGTTTCTTGGCAGCAGCAGTAAAGGGTTTTATACTGTATTTTGTATTTAATTTTAATTTTAATTCAAATGTTATGCAAGTCTAAGAAGTGGTCATCTAAGTTTAGCTGATTTTACCCTGTTATCAGGATAACAGAGAAGAACACACTCACATGCTCCTGCTCATTGTCTCGGTATCTTTCTCTCTCTGTGCCCACAGTTCCTTTCCCAGGTATAAAAACATATGTGGATCCTGACACATATGAGGACCCCACTCAGGCTGTCCACGAGTTCACCAAGGAGATTGACCCAGCCAGGATCCGCATCGAGAGGGTGATCGGAGCTGGTATACATCCACACAGGCCTGCACACACACCTACATGCCCATTCACTTGTGTCTCATTGAATTGTGCCATTCCCCTGTGAGTGGAAGAGATTCCCTTCATGTTGGTCAGAATAACAAAAGCTTTAAATGTGCCCAAAGAGATTATATATTTTCATTCCATATATGTAATTGCTGTGGACCCCCCTACTGTACACACTAAAGAGGATGCTTTTTTCATTTTTCAGTGTCTCATAGTCATTTTCTCTGTACAGACTGCAAGAATATTAAAGCTTTAACAGCTTTAGAGAACAAAAGAAAGTTTAAAAATAGATCAGAAGCTTTTTTTAGAAGGTGAAAGAGAGAATTTTATTAAATTGAACCAATCAGAGAAGAGCCAGTAATGCTGGAGTTCAGGTGAGAACTGCAACAGTGCCCCCCAGTGGTGTAATATGCTGCTGGCCGATGGTGTGGTGTTTGATGATGGATTCCTACAGTAACTTATGATTTTTATTTGTGTGCATTTATATTCCAGGTGAGTTTGGCGAGGTGTGCAGTGGTCGCCTGAGAACGCCGGGGAAGAAGGAGATTGCTGTGGCAATAAAGACATTGAAAGGAGGCTATGTGGAGCGTCAGAGGCGGGACTTCTTACGGGAGGCATCCATCATGGGACAGTTTGACCACCCCAACATCATCAGGTTGGAGGGCGTGGTCACCAAAAGTAAGAGGGATCATGGAAGATGTAGCTTAATTGATCTGATATCACAGAGGTGTATGCCTGGCTGTTTTTACTGGCCAATGAGACCTACACATGCTGATGTGTATTTGTACAGTGGCATATGTGGTGCATCCTTGTTGCAATGTCATGTCTGAAGTACTTTGGGCAGGAATTTACAGAATAGAACCTACTGATACCGCAGATGAAAAGTGTATTTAGAGATGTGGCTCTAATGTTACATTTATAAACCAGTCAAGCATATTCATCACAAGTCCAGTGAGTGCTATACTAAAATGTTTTATCACAGTTCTGTTTGAAACACGAGGGGAACCCTCTGTCACTGCCTCACATGTTCATGTAAGTCTGAGTGTGAACACCGTGTGCACAACAACTACACTGGTAGTTGACCACACAAAGCAAGACTACTGCTTTGTTTGTACATTCCTGTCATACACTGCTGTATGTGTCTTGCATTTTCTCATGTAGAATTCAGACAACAAAAAAATGTACATTGTTTCATATGAACATCTGCAACTAGTCATTATGGTTGTGTTTAAAAATAGTCCTCACAGTTTTGTTGTATGGCAGTAACCTAAATGTTGTGCCCACATTAAGTGTTTCGCTTTAAAGCAACAATATGTTGTCCTTATACACATATTTGTGTGTGTGTGTGTGTGTGTGTGTGTGTGTGTGTGTTTGTAGAGCATGCATGATCCTCTACACAACCATAGTATGGTCTATGTGAGGGGGTGTGTATGTGCATTTGTATCTTTATATGCACTGCTGTGAAGCTCAATGTTGCTGTATTTGTGCAGGGATGTGCTTTATCTGCACAAAGTGTGTGTGTGTGTGTGTGTGTGTGTGTTAGTGAGTGAGTGTGGACTTGTTAACGAGCTCTGTTTTACGGGGCTCACCCAGCGCAACATACGGTTGTTTTTACAGGGGGTGTATAAACTGATACATGGCTGTGAATATTAATGTGTCCCCTGAAGACTGTCAACCTGAAAGCAGACAGAGGACACTCCTCAGGTCTGACTTCACTGACAAGGATTCAACTGATAAAGGCCGATACATTATTATTATTATTATTGTTATTAATAAATCTATGATTGATGATGATTTCACTGATAAAAGAACAACATTTTGAACCAACCAAATGGACTGAATAGACATTCAAATGTCTGTTATTTACTGTTATTTATCAACAATACTGATATTACTCTATAGTCAGAATACTGTATCTGCCCCATATTGGACATCTTCCCATGTTCCTTTGGTGAAATGTGTTTTTTAACTTCAGAAACAATAGTTTGATCACTACTCATACCTGAAGGTCTGTTTACTAACTTCTTTGTCTCATGGTCTTCCATGAGATGCTGTTTAACCCTGTGGCAAAAGGACACTAAGTGAATCTTGATGTAAGATTTAAGTGTCTTGAGTTAGGTAAAGGCATTATGTTTTCGGGTTGTCCATCTGTCCATTCGTTCGTCCAGATCATTCTCATGAACATAGTATCTTGGAACACATTGAAGGAATTTGTTCAAATTTGGCACAAATGGCCACTTTGACTCAAGTTCATCGGTGGTCAAAGGTTACACATCATAATATCACACAAACATAAAAGTATATAAATATTCAGTGAAATGGGCTGAATGTAACATAAGAAACATCTGTATTTAGAAGAGAGGAAATTATTAGAGCAAGCATTCCCTCTGACTACTGATTCAGTAGTGTTCATGCACACATGCACACACAATCTCACAGTGGTGCATATACAGTATTAATTCTGAATTTCCTTTCTCTGTCCGCCTGCTTGTCTTTGGGCCTTTCTCTCACTCTCTCCATCTTTCTTTCCTTCCATCTGTCGCTGTTCTTTAGAGACTAATTATGAAGAGTACTGTGCTGTGACTGACTGCTATACCTGTGCCGAAAGAACAGGTGACACATTAGACTCTGGTAAACAGGTGCATTTGTTTTTGTTCAGGAGCTGCACTGCATAACTATATATTGTTTCCAGACCGAGCTAATTAGCTCAGGAAAGCCAAGCCTGATCAAATCATTTCCCGTCTATCCCCGTTGGATATGTGTTATGAAAGTGTGTCTGCAGAGGCAAGGATGTGACGGTGACATTTAATTAAAACAAAACACAAACAAGCCAAAAAACCATCGTGTGTCTATTTGTTCTAAAGTAAAGTGAAACGGTCTAGTACAGACCACGGCTCTGCTCATCCACCAGTCCATATACCCTGTGTGCCCTTTTTCACTTGTAACAGGAGTGTGGGTTAGAATCAACATTCTTTTGTTGATGATTGATACTTATTTAGGTTAGATTAGTTAAAATGCTGAAAACACATGAGCCTTCTTGAAAGAGATTTAATCAGTGTTGTAGAGGTTTTTTGATGTTGTGTTGATTTTATGTTAATATACTGTAAATGCTCCAATATGCATCCTTTCACATGTATTGAAAGGACCCGTTAATTTTATTGAAATTGTATCATTAGATCTTACAAAATATGTTTTTTAATATTGCAATTTGAGTGGAATAATTAATTTGTGTGATACCATAGTGCTGCTTCCCTCCCGTAAAACTTTTCTTTCCAGCAGTTCAAAACGGCTGACTACTCCCCAGGCACAAAGACCTGGACCAGTCTGTAAATCAGTCAGTCTGGATCACCGTGGGGATCCTTAATGGGGAAAATTAACATTTGGAGAAAGAGTTTGTGCTTGCACCTGTTACCAAAAACAGTTAGATGTCAGGTCCTGTTCTGTTGAGCATGTTGAGATGAAAAAGTTTCATGTGTGATGCATCAGTCAGCTACTGTGGATGATCTGTGTGTCTCACTCGTGCTCTGATTTTCTCTGTCTCAGACTGACAGCAAAGGTAAACACACTCTGTTTCCCTCTGCCAGAAATGTTGAGCCTGCACTTTTTTTTTTTTTTTTTGTGAGTATTTGTCGGCAATGTTTACCAGAGTGTAGTGTATCACCTACATGACTGCGAACATTATTTTGTGGTCAGAGGATCATTTAGGGCCATTGTCCCTAATGGTCTGGTGACCTACTGTACAAACTATTTGTCATTCTTACAACGCTTTGCTTGATGCTATGCTATGATAGTTTGGCTGCTCAAATAGGAAATAGATGGTAACAGATGCAACATCAGAAATGTTGGCGTTTCTCATCTTGGCAAATGTAGGCCCCAGGTGTTTTAATGTTAGCATTGCACTACTTGTAATTATTAAGTGATAGCTTCATTGACAAGTCATGGTGCACATTTTTAGGTCAGATTTAAATATGGTGAGTCTTACTGTAACACAAAACCCAGCGTCCATGATCCAAAAATATTCATCTTTGATATTTACCCTTTAATCCAATGTTGATTAAAAAGCTCAGTACAAAACTCCACATACTGTACCAGCTTCTGACTGTATGTCGCGGTCTTTATTTATCGAACGGAAGTAGCTGAGGTGTCATCCAACAAAATGCATTAGTCACTACACATTCACACACAAACACAAAACACACACAGCACTCTACATTTGTGAGTTTAATCCATGTAAACAAATTGCAGACCAGCTGGGGTTTGTGTAAACTGACTTTATATGCATTGATTTGAGTGACTTTACTTTCTGGAGTCTTGTTCGAGGTCTGTCCGGTTTCTCCTGTCCTCTTTTTCAACATAACCTCTGCAGAACTAAGACATGTGTTGTTGTGTTTGCAGGCAGGCCCGTGATGATTGTGGTGGAGTACATGGAAAACGGATCGCTGGACTCATTTTTGAGGGTGAGAGTGCTGAAGTGATCAGAGAACTCAAGTATGACTACTGTCTGTCTGTTTTTGGCCTCAGGTGGTATTTTTGTGGGAAATAAGCGCATGACAATGCCGCTGATATAATAAGACAAAAGGATCACGCATCGGTGCCTTCATCTGTAAAAATAGCAACACCCTTGCAGGATTTTGTTAGTCCAGTCATTATAAAGAGATCACCCTCAGTGACTGTACCAGACCATAGGGGACTGCACGTAGCCACTGGCCAAGAATGTTTTTCAAAAACTGTAAGAAAAACAAGCTGTTTAACTGTGTTTTGTAAGTAACATTTTGGGCCATATTTAATGTTGCTTACTGTTCAGTCAATACACAGCCAGCAAACCTCAGAACAAGCGACTTTCTCTCCTATTAAAATAACTGAAGTATTTGACAATATGTTCTGAGGCTACACAGGTTTTTTGTCAGTGTCATTTCTTTGACTCCATCTTTGCACTCTTTCTCTCCCTTATTGTCTGTGCTGTTTCCAGGTTTTGCAAGGGCTTTTTTTCCATCAAATAATTGTTTCTCTGTATCTTGGTCTCCTCATCAGCAACATGATGGCCACTTTACTGTCATCCAGTTGGTTGGCATGCTGCGTGGCATCGGCTCAGGCATGAAGTATCTGTCAGACATGGGCTACGTTCACCGAGACCTGGCAGCTCGAAACATCCTAGTCAACAGCAACCTGGTGTGTAAAGTGTCAGACTTCGGCCTGTCCCGAGTCCTGGAGGATGACCCAGAGGCCGCTTACACCACAACGGTACCCCTGACAACCTACAGTTCAGCCATTCTAAACCATATGCAATTGTTAAATGTTCAGATGTTATACTCCCGTGGTACTTCAAAACCCTCTGCACAACAGTGACATCTTAACCCAAGTCTTAATTTGAAAACCTTTTGCTCGGGGGGATCAGAAGTATGATGCCAAAATGTTCCTTAACTTTAAATTTGTTCAGTTTTTGTACTGAAAAACCTATGATGCTGTATTTTACGGAAAATCATGGTTGGGCTGCTTTTCTTAGAAAACAAGTTTTGTGGTTGTGCGCCACAAATACAGACACTAAACATCTCTGAGAAGGAACACTAAGCCTCTTACTGTTGGAAATGGTTTTAAAGTTTTGCTGTTACTTTATTTGGTGCCTCATTTGGGCTCAATGACAGGTTATTTAATTCAGTCACTTGAATGGGATCTACACAAGTCTTCTAATGCTAGAGAGCTTTTCCCTTAATGATGAAATTGACTGTCCTAAACTTGCTGCTATTAAATTGCGGTAACAAAGGTAAGGCAGTGTGGCATCTAGTGCCACATTTGTCACATCATCTCCCCATTCATGGTGATACACAGCACAGCCTGGATGATACAGGATTTTTAAGGCTGATGCCAATTTTGATATCTGGAGTTTAACAGAAAAATAAGATGATAACAAAAACACACAACAAGGAATTTTGACTGGGGATTGCCTGTATGTAGTTATTGAAGGGGGCATGGGGAGCGTCTGAAGCAGCTGTCATTGTCATGTATTTGTCTCAGTGTGTACACACATTTATTTCTAGTGTTTTTCTGCTCATTTAATAATTAGCTTTTAATTCTGAAAGGCACTTTATTAGCCTTAAACCTGATACTACCAGTATAAAATCTTCAGTAACTGACATGTGAGTCACAGATACAGTATAATGTGTTTACTATGTCATTTAGGCAGAATGAGCGAAACACCTTCCATCAAAGGCTTATTGGTAGTCTACCGCTAACAAGCTGTACGGTAGTTAACTTTGGTGATACATATTTTAGCAACACTGTGTTTTTATAACAGCTGTCAGCAATTTTCTGACAAGGTGACAAAATGATAGGACCCTTGTTCACTGACTTGTATCAATGTTTTTCATTAATAAACATAAACGCTAGTTTATCAATAAGCTGTAGACATTAACTGTGTTTTCTGCCGCGATCAGTGAACTTACAGGACTGGTGTGTTGCAAACAGTGGAGTGGCACTGCTTTCTGGTGTACAGGCCATGCAATAATGGGATTGCTAATAAAATAGCCAAAACACCTATCGTTGGCTTTACAGTACTTTAATTTCTTCATATTTATCTGCTATTATAAATGCAAATACTGATTTATCTTTAATTGGCTTAGATCGGTTGGACTGGATCTAGTTAGAATGAAATGTAATTGACCAATCGGGAAACCTGGATGCCAGTGTAACATTTACTTCTTTCTAAAGCTTATGCAGTACATATTTCACTTTTATTCTTTAGCACCACCAAAGCAAACTGAGTTTTTCCTAGTCCTTGGTTCCAGTTAGTCATATTTACTGCCATCTGGCTGACATCTCCTAGTCTGTTCCTGCCTTTGGGAGAGAACCTCATTAAAAGTAAAGGTGACATCTCAAACTATGAAACGCACATGAGCAGTAGTTGAGACTCAGGAAATGGTTTCAACTCAATTTACGGAGATGTACCGAGGTTCTTCAAGACACTCTTTACCAGCTGTTCTGTGGCTGATCCTCTCTCTGCATGACTTTAAATATATATATCTCTGTCATATCTGTGCACCAGCAGCTGGAGATGGAACTCATAACTTATTTTCTGCCAACAGCCTACTGGCTGCTGTTGTGTCTTTATTATCACAAGCAGGTTAATAGCGTCCCTGAATGTAAGTGATATTGGTGTGGACAAATCACTGAATATGCACTTGGAATATTGCACACTAAAATTTTCCTTCAAAGGACAAGCATCAAAGATAGTGTTGACACACTGGTGCTGTTATCTACTGTCTACACACATCAGCAAACCGAGGCATCATTCTGTTCCTGCTAGATAGAACTGATGAAATTTTGGCCTTTTCTGTCTTCTATCCTGAGGCCAGTGAAAGTGATAGACTTGCCCTCCATAGCAAAATTAAAACTTCAAAATCATTTGGGTTGAAAGGACGCTGCTCCGTAAATCTGTCTGAGCCCACAGTGACCTCCATTTCTTGGTTTGTGCTGAGGTTATTGTGTGAAGGAAATGTTGTTTATGGTTCCAAATTTAACTTTCTGCTCCATAAGACTGTGGCTGAAATCCACAGAGAGGACAGGAGAGGTCAGGCGAGGCAAGGCCAGGTGAGATAGGTTGGTGTGAGGTGAGATGGTGTGTGAATGAAAACTGCAGGCCATAAACAGAAATGGTGATGAACTCTGATTTAAGAATTCAGAACTGCCGAGCATTTGTGCCCACAGTTTTTGTGAAATATAGTGTTGTGTGTTTTAAAATGGCTCTGCATTCACCTGAGCACACAGTAACAGCTTTCTCCAATTGCTAGAAAGTAATATTTGCATGGTTGAGGCCACTGAGGAGCTGAGATATTGCTGTGCGCAATAAAAAGTTTTAACTGTTTACTTTTTAGTTTGCAGGCTGTATTTTGGTGTGCTGATCCTTTCATGCATGTATCCATGAGTGGATATACAATATTATGTTTACGTCTCTTTAATTTATATTTTGTGTGTGACAGGGTGGTAAGATCCCAATCCGATGGACAGCGCCTGAGGCCATCTCGTACAGAAAGTTCTCCTCGGCCAGTGATGCGTGGAGCTATGGCATCGTCATGTGGGAAGTGATGTCATATGGGGAACGGCCATACTGGGAGATGTCTAATCAGGATGTGAGTATTGTGGTCTCTTGGACGAGAGCTGAAGCATCTTCAAGAACCTCAAGCGAGTCCTGTAGCCATCTAATAGCCCTTTAGACATAGATATAAACAACTGTTCACATTTACATTCCCAGTTAATTTGTTCTGCATGTCTTTGGACTGTGGGAGGACACTCCTGAAGAAAACCCACAGTTTAGTATAAGTTTTGTTATTTTGGAAAGATTAATGTAATAATTCTTTGACTAGCGTGGCACATTTAAGGTATCGTTTTACTTTTCAGCAAATTATTTCTGTACATTATTTGCTCAAAGGTTTTGTCCTTAGAGGATGGATGAGACTTGTTCCATGTTGTTTCCACAAAATGTCCCCCATAAGCCTGATCCTCTAACCTCAACACTACACCATGCTTCAGTGTTGACTTTTCATTTCAAGTCCTGCCCAGCTGAGTAAATTCTGAGTTTATTTTTCATTATATCTGTTAAAACTGTTGCTCTTTCACTTGCTCCCTGTTTTCTCACATCAAACATCTTTCTTTGAGAGAGGAGGTTTGGAGCAGAAATACTGGTGAGAGTCACCAAATGGATAAAAAAGAGTGAGGGACCAGAGAAGAGCAGTAAAGGTCAAAGGTTCAGAGGACTTTGGTCCAGCAGAGGGGGAGTTTAAAGTCATGGATTCAGTGTGGCTGAGTATCCCGCTGATCCCTGGGCTGTGGTCAGGGATTGGAGGGGCAATGGAGGAAGCAGAGCCATCCCTCTCTCCACTGAGTGTGAAAGCTCCACCGTAATCTCTTCAACCCCTCGCACACAGGCTTACAGTATACACATCTATACACAGACGCCCGCATGCACACAATCACTATGGTTCCAGGGTTTGGGGAGGATTTGTGCTGTTTGGGAATTGCTTCAAAATGCTTTCCAAGGCAAAAGGCCAGCCAAGCCGCAAAACCAGCCTAACACTATCTCATTCTGGTCAGCCACTTTCCACTGCTCCCTACATGGATACATGCTTTCCCATAGACCAGCAGATATGACTGGAGATCTACTATAGTACATGGAGGCTAATACTGTGCTTACTATTAGCTCAGATAAGAAACAAAACCAAAAAAGTTTTCATACTGTACATTTGGAAACTAACTGATCGTAGAGATCGTCAAATTTGTTTTCTACAGGAAACAAAACATCTGAGTTGGAGGTTAAGGGAAATAATACGAGTAGAAGCTTACAAAAAATGTTCTGACACTTCTTATTTAACACTTATTGTTCTGCTCTCTTCAGAAATTACTTCTGTGATTCATGCTCTAGGATCAAGTAAATGATCATTCTCTTTGCTGCAGCCTTACAATTAGAGAGGCAGAGCTGTTGTCATTGTAACTTAAATATTCCCAAGGTATCGTTGTTATGCTTCTGTTTTTAGCCATGCCGACAGCATGGCCTCAATCATTCCACCACTTTGTTCAGAAATTAAACTTCTCAGGAACTGTTGGGTGGATTGCCCTGACATTTTGCAGAGATTCCTGACTCAGGATGAAGTGTAATAGCTTTGGTGAGCCCATCTGTTTTCATCAAAATTTCATTTTCAATATTGCAGTGCTTTTGAAAATGTTTTATCTAGTAGATGTCAACCTTTTCAATATTTAATGTTCAGAGTTTTCATAGCATTTAAAGTAATAGGACCATCGTAAAGCTTTGTAAAAGCAACGTCAGACTGTACATGCAAATGCCAAACAATGCTGTTTTATCCAGTGGGTTTATAGTGTTTGTCTGATCTGTTGCAGTCTTCAAGATCACAGAGAAACAGAGCATTTTAACTTCTTCTTCTTCCTCCTCCTCCTCTTCTCTAACCTTTCGGCTAAAGAGATACAATTTTAAGCTGATTAAATTGTAAATTGTAGCTGCCTTCACCCTTCATCACATCTACCTGTCACTCCAGGTGATTCTGTCCATCGAAGAGGGCTATCGGCTACCTGCACCAATGGGCTGCCCCGTGGCCCTGCACCAACTGATGCTGCACTGCTGGCAGAAGGAGAGGAGTCACCGGCCTAGATTTACTGATGTTGTTTGTTTCTTGGATAAATTGATCCGCAACCCCAGCAGCCTGCTGCCACTGGTAGAGGACTTTCAGAGGTACAGCACAGAGGAGTTTGTATCTCTTAATGCATTCAATTGCTAAATACAGTAGTGACCAGGAACCATATCGGTCAGTTGCTGCTGTTGTTTTTTAACTAATGTTTTCCCAGGGAAAACCCAGCCAAACCCAAAGATAGCAGCATGTATTTTGTTAACTAATATAATATCAAGAACAGATATGAAAGAGTTAAGAACAGGGCCAAGTAGTGAAGGACTCATTCATCAGTGCAGTCACAATAGACTTGAATTCAGTCAATAACACCAAAGTGAGTAGATTAAGTTTATTTTACAAGCTGTTCCAGGTGGCTGAGGCAGAATACATAAAGACCTTCTTTCCCATCTCTGTCCTGACATTAGAGACAGACAGCAGATACTAGTCATGAGATTTATCATTATAACATTACCTCAGAGCTTGAGAGTGTTTTGAGTCGCAATAAACACTGAGCTATGTCCTACAGTACATCTAGGCCGAGACAGGATGACTTTTCTTGGTTAAAGAAGTTGACATATGTTTTAGTCCTACACCTTAAAGAAGCACCAGGTGTGTGTCACTCCTAGAACCTGGGCCAGTTATGTTTTCCAGCTTTGGGATGCTTTAAAAAGACAAGAAAGGATCTGACATCAACTGAGTTTTCTGTTTTGCACCAGTCTACCAGAGTCTCCGGGGGAGGAAATGGACTACCCAATGTTCATCTCCATCGGTGACTGGTTGGACTCCATCAAGATGAGTCAGTACAAGAGCAATTTTATGGCAGCAGGCTACAACACATTGGATTCTGTGGCCAGGATGAGTATTGAGTGAGTAGAGGAGCCAAACATAATCATTATTAAATGGCAGGAAACCAAATATGAGCTATCGCTGTAGCAGCAGGGATGATTTAAACAGGCACTCCAGGGATTTTATTTATTCAGGAAGTTAGTTTACTTGTACTATAATGAGGAACACTATTCAGTCTGTCACTGCCCTCTCTGGATGTGCAAGGAAGCTTTCGTAAGTGAGAGAAAATTGCCCTGATGGTGTCATAGTGATGTCATCAGGGCTATCTCAGTTTCAGCTTGTGACTTCAAATTTTTAACAGAAAGCCTGTGTTTCAAATTAGAGGTATATCATTTGAAAGATGAAGGTTTTTATCAGACAGAAGGGGTCTGCATTATGAGAAGTATAGGATGCTGCATTTTGATCCTGACCAGTACTAGAGGTTAAAAGTTAGGATATCAGGAATCTCTGCAGCTTCAATTTTGACTGTTCTTTTCGTAATTTATCTCTCACAAGTCCACCAGTGTTACTGAAGTGCACTATTAAATCACTGAAATGGGGCTTGTAGCACTGAGGCTGATGAGTGAAGGTCAAAGTGCATCTGTGATCTGTGCCACATGATCAAACTATTGCTCCCCTTTACCAAACAGAGTAAACCTACAGTAGCCTACGTGACTCAGGTGGGCTCTATAAAAGGAGCTTAAGAATTAATGTGTTTAGTGAAAGTGTATAGTTAAAGTGTTCTGTGCATATTTGTTTGTATCTGTGTTTCCCCTCTCGGCCTAGAGATGTGAGGCGTATTGGGGTGGAGCTGATCGGCCATCAGAGACGAATCATCAGCAGCGTCCAGACCCTTCGCCTTCAGCTACTGCAAGAACAGGAGAATGGCTTCCATGTATGAGGACGCTCTTTAACACCGCCTGGCATGGACAGATAGATGGACCAGATGGAAGTGAAGTCTAGACCATAGGACAGACAGTCTTCAGCCTGTGCCTGAGTCTTAACCCCTCATGCAGGAGGTCATTGGACAGACTACCACAGCAGACTACCCCGTGTTCTCCCTCACATCCAGTAGTAACAGACCTTTTTCTATTATCCACCCATTATCCAGCATACCTGGTTTTGTCAGACTATTACAGTCTGATTTAGACTTTACAGACTTGCCCTCACCTAGGGGAATGTAATGCCTTGTTGCAGCGACAGTACTTTGTGTGTGGAGCAACAACATCTAGGGATGTAGATTTGGAAATGTAATCTACTGAATCTTTTAACTTTTGCTTTTCTTGCTCCAAGTTATGTGCTCATGTAGCTGCAATTTTCTTATTTAACAAATATCAATATTTTTTTATTTTGGATTATGATTATTTCTCATGATGGTATTTGCATTGCTTTAGTTGTCCTTCTCTCCAGAGAATCTGGTACACTAATACTTGAAGAACAAAGCAAGAAGCAAGTTATGGAGATTTCTTGAATGTTTAGTGTATAGACAATTAATCGATAATTATTATCATAACCTAATATCTATATATGTGCAGTCCTGTATGTGAAAGCCCTAGTAAATCTGGATCTTATTTAAAATGTTATATTTATTTAGGATTTTTTTTATCCAAATCAGCAATACACTATTATGCAGAGTTGTGCAATGAAAGAACTCCTGCTGACATACAGATGGGTGACAAAAGGAACACCTGCTCTCTTCCAGGATGACAATGCCCGCATCCATAGGGCATGAGGGGTCACTGGTGTGATGTGAAACATATGCTATGTACTCGGCAGTCACCAGATCTCAACCCAGCTGGTGGGAGATTTTGGAGTGACATGTTAGACAGCGTCTCCACCACCATCATCAAAGCACCAAATGAGGGAATATCTGTTGGAAGAACGGTGTTCATCCATCCAGTAGAGTTCAGAGACTTATAGAATCAATGCCAAGGAGCGCTGAAGCTGTCCTGGTGGCCCAGCACCTTACTTGGTTTTTCCTTGAATTTGCCACCTTTCTGTACAGTATAATCATGAGGCTCACACAACACCATCCACCTGTTTTATTGTCACATGCAAAGCTTACATAACTGGGTTTGTTTCCTTTAGATGAATAATCACACAAGTCTAATCTGGCCATATTTTTAGCAAAGAGGGTCCTGAGTTGTGTAAACAGCATGATTTTTTTTGGGCGACTGAATGATATACATTGCCTGAAAGTACACAGTATCCACTGTCTCAACATATGAATGCTCACAGATCTTAAATACTGTTTAGATATTAGATGTTTGAAATTGTCTGGAAACATACCTTGGACTGGTTCTTCCTTACACATTTATTCGTTGTTTCAGCACACACACATGCACATAGACTTTGGTTTGCAGCTCTGGGGCAAAGTTGAGCTAAAGCAGAGCAGAATAATCTGTCTCAGGTGTAAAGCTACCAGATGGATTTCACAGAGTCCTCCTTCTACTAAAGTCTGCACTTCCATTGAGGTCATGTAAAGGTCATTGGCCATTTGGGAAATCGGTGTATAAATGTAGTCTGAAGTGAAAACTATGGGATCTGCAGTAGATGGTGTCATGTACTGAGATGTGTACCGTTGTTTTTCATTCTCTAAGTCAATGGTTAATAGGAAGTCTTGCAGAATATAAGTTAGAGACAGCAGATGTACTATAGCCAAAACCTGCTTGGTGGAAACTGGTGAGAAGGAAGGTGGAGAAAGATGGACATTAACGGCAGCATAATAACTCACCATGTGTCCTTCTAACATCAAGAGTAACAAACACGCTGACATACACTGACATACACACACAGAATGCCTTACAGCCCGTCAACCATGCAGGACAGAAACACTTTAGAGCCACTTAAACGTTTCTGTGCAGTCACAGGACATTAGCCATTAGTTTGAGTTCTACTGCATATTCGAGACAAGAACCACCTGTCTACACTTGTAGTTTGTATTGCAAACTGGGACTCGGTGATGTCGAAGGTAAACTGGATTTCAAGATCTGTGCCTTTCGGTCACAGCGTAGTTATGCATCCAGGCCTTTAGGAGCAGGAGAGGTGTACGCACACATTCAAACACACACCCATTTTTGCAGACGTGCTCACGGTCACCACCCCTCTACAGAATGTGGACAATATCAGATGCTGTTTGTTTAGCATGTTCTACTGCTGAGCAATGTTAGAACGTTCTTTTGTACAAAGTACAAGTATACTTATAATTCTTGTATTTTATTTTTCTATGATTTCCAAAGAGATGTTGTAGATCTTGCACACTGTAAGAGGCAGTTACAGCGAATATTTATTTGCAAATAAACAGGAACAGTTCTGGTGATTGAATGCTCATTTAATTTTGTTTTGATTTCTAAGAAGGGTGAGCAAAAAACTATGAAAACTCCTGACTGAAGACAGAAACCTAGCCGTGCCAGTCTGTTTAATACCTTTATTTAAAAAGTCGAATGTCTCTGAGTTGGTCCTGAAATAACATAATAATGATGATATAATAAACTTTATTTATAGCACCTTTCAGTGAAGAATTTCCAAACTTTTTGGATTATTGTAATGTTAACTTGCATTACATAAAACTACACACAATACTGACCAAAAGATGGCGAACTTAGACCTTATGTTATTATGCTAATTTATGTTATTATGCTAATTTAACCTCAGATGTATAATCCAAAGAAACCTTCATAAACCCTATTGTCACATATGTTTTCCTATTTTTAGCTCTATTTCCAGGGTTGTTGTTTATAATATGCTGTATTTAGGTTTGTGTTTTGCTCTGACATTTTTTATTTGCATTGTGCGTTATTTTTAATTTATTGTAGATGTTTTACTATAGTCTGTAACAAACTGACTCCACAGCCTGATGCAGTGAGCAGAAGATGTAGAATCTGCTGCTGCTGTTGTGTCTTCAGTGGACCCTTAGTGAGTAATAAATCAAATGCATGGGGATGGGGGACCTGGGAAGTTCCACACTCCATGGTAAGGTCACCAGGTGGTTTACAGAGCTTAAGTCGCTCTAATAGGATTACCTGTCACAAGCTGAGATGCTGCCTGGGCATGCCGGCTATTGTCAGAAAGGGGGAACACACTGTTCATATCTGTGTTTATCACCAATGTTCACTTTCATGAGAATCTGCACATCCAGCACATTTCAAACTTTAAATGGTGTAGCATTAATCAAGTCCAATGGGGCTGCTGGACAAGCTGTCGGGCTGGCTCGGCCTGAGGAAGAAAGAGGTCAGCGTGCTGTGTTTGGGACTGGACAACAGTGGAAAAACTACCATCATCAACCAACTGAAGCCAGCTCATGTAAGCACACAAAACTGGGTTTAATGCTTAGTGCCTTTATTTTGTTATTAAATAATTCTGTCACTGTGGCATTGAGTGGCCTTTGAGTGTGTAGTCCTGCCATACACAGACCCGTGATACACTTAAATCTTTTCTAATGCCCAGGAGGATTTGCGATACAAATTGAAGGCCTGTCAAAACCTGCATTGCTTGTTTTCAGCATTCGAATCATTTAGGCCCATTGTCAGAAGAATGGAAACATGTTAGTCAGGTAAAGCCCATATACTTTCCTTATACTATTTCCTTGTTGACATACATTTGCCATTACTTTTCTGTTTTTTGTGCTTGTGTGTGTATGGGGGGATTGTACATGCAGACACCGGAACAAGAGAGAGTCCCAACAATTGGCTTCAACGTTGAAAGGTTCAAGAGTTCGAGGTAGAAATCTGCTGACATTTACAGCATGTTTTAACTGGTTTTTGACTAGTTTACAGACATGAACCAGTATGTCTCCATCTGAGCCGATCTCATCTCTCTCCCCCCTGCATGCAGCCTGTCTTTTACAGCGTTTGACATGTCTGGGCAGAGCAGATACAGAAACCTATGGGAGCATTATTACAAGTGGGATACACACACATGCACACACAACACGCCCATCGCTGATTAACTATTAAAATTTATTAACGTGACTCTGTGTCAGTTGTGTCTTCTCATGTCATCCTTAGAGAAAGCCATGCCATCATCTTTGTCATTGACAGCAGTGACAAACTGAGAATGGTTGTTGCTAAAGAGGAGCTAGATACTCTTCTCAGCCACGAAGGTACAAAATGCCTCTTTTTTGTGTTACTCCTAAAAATACATTATAGACACAATTTCCATTTTCTCCAGCCTGGCAAGTTTGTACATTTGACCAAGATTTATGGCTTCAAATATCAAACATGACTCAGGGGTCATACAGTATATAAAGAGATAAAACACTTTATTATATATTCACTCTATATAATTGGCCACAGGTTGACTGTAGGAAACTCCCATACTTGTATTTAATTTAGCATTTGGTCAGGTGCATCCTGTTTGCTTTCCTTGATATGTGTGTAACTACAGTAAAGTGTGCTAAAAGTAAAGGGGTCTCAATGAGCCACTGTAAGTCCAAAACCTTAACCTACAGAAACTGGATAAAACATCTTATTGTTGGCTGTTGATTCACTGATCTATATGTCTGTCTTGCTGTCTAGATATCCACAGCAAAAAGATACCATTACTGTTTTTTGCTAACAAGATGGATCTGCAGGACGCCATGTCTTCTGTCAAGGTCTCACAAATGTTGTGTTTGGAGAGCATCAAAGACAAGCCATGGCACATCTGGTAATATACAGTATCTGTCAAATAGGCTACATACTGTCAGAACAAGCCAGATTTAGTTCAATATTTCTTCTGTTTTTGACTCTGGTCGCACATTCAGTCCTACAAGAATGACATTCATGTGACCACATTATTGTAAAATATTGTAAACACTCCAATGAGGTATCTCTAAACAAAGGCAGTGAATGTCTACAGTTCACAGTCTACAGTACTAGGTATTGCTGAAGAAAGTGAATGGATCAAACTGACTGAACTGAGCTAAACCCTGGCACTTCCCCATCCACAACATTTTGTGCTTCCAGAATTACAGCTTAAAGCCTTAAACAGAGACAAAACCTCAGGTTACTTCCTGGGTCTGTTTCCAGTATCTGCTCACAGTATTTGCCCTTTTTTTCATGGCTCATAGATTAAATAATATTAGGAAGCAAAAAGCTGTTTTTCAAAAGCCTGGCTCTTTTATATACGTCTTTTCCATGATGTTTACTCATTAGACAGATGGAAGGCAGATGGACTAATAGGAAGACAGTTTAAACATCCAGCATCCAAGAAAAGTCATGAGAAAGTCATGGTGTGCCGCAAAGAAATTAACTCCTCATTTTTTCCAGTGCCAGCAATGGTATTAAAGGAGAGGGCCTACAGGAAGGGCTGGACTGGCTGCAAGGTAAAGTGTCCGTCTAGTGTATTTAATAATACTGTTGTACTTAGGCCACGTTCAAATGCTGCCTGCATCCTGTCTATCACCATTATTAAGGGATGGATGTCTTTGTTCCCCACACTCACAGAACAAATTGCACAGTAGGTATCATCATGTCAACACGTGAAGTGACTGCGGTGTATTGTATCTACAGTATCTCTGGATGGGATTTAAATTATTATGGGAGACCAAATGAGCAGCCCCAGAAACACGAGTTATTTTGGACAGTGTTTAACACTAAGGAGAATTTTTAAAATTAGTTTACCTCCCTGACAAAAATAATTCCCATCCAAAGTGCTTTTGTGCTGTATATACTATAGTTTGAATGTAAAGCTCTTGTGCTGTGTTACTGCCCATGGAATCCACTCAGACTTTTATATTTTTGTATAAATGCTCTGTGACCAATAAGACCTAATAAGAAATGTTTTTCAAAACTTAATATTTTCAGTTTGAACCTGCATCAAAACACATAATCCATCACATGCAAAGAAGGCACAACCAGGCTGCACAGAAAAAATAACATTTGTTGTTTTTTTCTCCTGCCAGATCACATCAAAGCAATGACCATGTGAGTCGATGAAAAGCCTGTGACCATGGACACGATGTGGGCATTTTAACTAGATCTCACTCACCTCTGGGGGTACCCATCACACTCGATGATGTAGGCCTTAAACATCGCTGTTAAAATACACATTTCTTTTTTATTCCTTAACACATGCTTTACTAATTTCCTCCACTGAGCTTTTTTATGTGTTCAATACAGAACAACTACCTGTACGATAATAAAAGCTTATTTGCTGAATCCCTGTTATTTCCCTTTTTTTAAGAGGTCTGCCCCAAAACGCTGCCTTATAAACTTATAAAGACATGAAAATGAAGACAAATTAGATTGGAAAACACCAATATAATAACTCAAATCACAACTATATTTACATAGAAATTCAAAGTCAATAAATAGTGTGTCAATGCTGTAAATGTCAATAAATATTAAATACTGTTTATAAAAAGTAACATCCAAGATGGTTTAAGAACAAGATTTTAAACTTTGAGAAAAATATAAAATGTATATCACTAGCCATCCTGTTTGGCCAAACTGTTTGTTTTCAGCCAACACATGCTGTGTTATTTATAGTGAACTGTCAGTCAAATTCTTCCTCTCTTAACTTTCAAAGCTACCATGAAAACACAGTCTATGTTCAAGTCTTAATATTGTTGTAAATGTCCTTCACTCTCGTTCACGTCTTTAGCTGCGCTCCTAGATTACTGGCGTTGGTTTCTTCCCAATCTCTTCCACATGTTGCCACTGCAACCTGCATCATTCCTATTTGAGGAACATTTGGAGGAATTTTGTGTGAAAGCGAGCACTGGAGTCCAGGAGGATACACAGGGTTTGGAAAGTCTCCCTGTCTTCGAGATGGTTCCCTGAAAACATAATGGTATTACTGACCTTTTAAGGATGCACATCATTCTTCCAAAAGATATTCCCTCAGGAATTCTAATCTTCACTTTACACCCATTACACTTTCTTTATTTAAATGTGATTCCCAGATCTTTTGTCATTAACACTGAGACAAAAACGTGTTCTTTTTCACTCCGTAGCAGCATTTCAAACGTTAAACATTAGCACGGGTGCAGCAAAGATTAAAGGATGGCTGCAAATGACAGTGTGCTTTAGGTGGAAAAAGTGAGGCAAACACATATCTGCCCAAGCTGAAAATATTTTCAATAAAGTAAGGAAGAATAAGGACTTCAGTGTAAAAGCCATCTGTCTGAGCTGACATCCATCAATAAAACAAGCTACTCCACACTCCAGGAAAAACCATTTTCTGTCTCCTGATTACAGCTGAATGCTTTCAGTTGTACATCTCAGCATCTGTAAATCCTTTTCACTCAAGCCCCATTTGTACTGTTTTATATTACCCATTAAGATCCTATTATGACTGCAATGTCAAAATATTGTGGAACTTTGTGCAAGTAGCAAGTGTCCCCCCACAGGCATTATCAATCCCAAAGTTGTCCATAATGAATTTTTGGTGTTAAGAACTTCATCACTAGAGAAAACTGCTCCATCTCACCTGCTGCAGAAACCTCAACAAACTCCCTGGTGATTTCTGAAAACGTGTTCTCCAGTTGTTGGATGAAGTAGAACTTTTCATGAACTGTGGTGAAGCTCTTGCAGATCTGCTGTACCAACTTAACCGCCCAGCTCATGTGATAGCCATCCTTCTCGCACACCTGTGGGCAAAACCATAAAAACAAAACAAAAAACAGAAAACTGAACAAATGGGAGGCACAGCGGTTAACTTTAACTACAAGTCAAAATGATTCATTTCAAAGTCAACCTCAAGCTACTCCTGGATGTATCGTCATTGTCCTGACAGTACAATAACAGTACAATCATTTTGTCCTATCAGAAATGGACAATGCTGGCAAATAGCTCATTAATGTATTGGCCCAATATACCCGACTAACTGTAACACAAGACTTCATTTGAAGTCAACTTCCATCACTCCATTCAGCTGATGATAAAATAACTAGTACTCTCACCAGTATGATGTAGACGATGAGTCTGGAGATCTCGAAAAGTCGTCCGTTCCGGGCCTTGCTGGCCAGAAAAGTGTAGCAGAGAGAGCTGCCACACAGCACCAGTAGACGAGCCACATTCTCCACGTGCCATGGCTGGGGAATGACTGGAATATGGTTCAGTTCAATTAATACTATTAGCTGAGGCTACAAATCCTGTAACTGAAGATCCCTCATCTGGTGAAGATCAAAAATTAATCAGTGCTTACACAGGGCCTTGTGTTTTAGTCTAATAACATCATTTCACCTTGGTGTCCTAAAACCTATTATGTGTCTAACCCAAGGTCTGCAACATCATAACATTTGAAAACCACTCAGGTACGATACCAAAGAGCTCCTCCAGGATTGTTAGTATCGAGTCACTGGTCCAGCCTTTGGCTTCCAGTTTGCCAAAAAGCAGTAGGAGGGCTCGGGCCAGGTCCCACAGAGCACTGTGAGGCAGCCACCTCTCCACCACATACCGCCAGCCCAGAGTGCCTGCATGCAGGGGAGAAACCCACTCACTTCATATGTCTCTACTACCACAATATGACACTAATGCTTTCTGGGCAGTGTCACAGTACAGTACAATAGATTCTATGCTTTGCTATGAACTATGTGTGATTGTTCAAAACGATCTTTCAGATAGACTTGTGTTGTACATTTTAATCACATTTCAACATATTTTTATTAACTTTTAACTGATAGGGCTCTCTTACCCTCAGGCATCAGGGGTCCATAGAGGATGAACAGTAAGTGTGCCTGGCTAACCATGGGCCAAGGCCTCAGGAGTTGTGTTAGCCAGAACTGACACTCCAGCTGGTTTGACCATGGGTCCAACAGAACCTGACGGCAGAAAACACGGAGCTGTAGCTCCTGGTACCACCTCACCCCTGAAGACAGACACACAAAGGAGTAAAATAACATGTTATTGATTCATGCCTCTTAAGAATTTTACAGTAAAAGGCCCAGGCTAGTCAGTCTCACCACTCTACCCCTCTGCAATGCTGTTAACTAGTCATTCATCTTTCCACTCACTCAGATAAGCAGGTCACTATGTCCACCACCACAGATCTGAGCCAGGGACAGTTATCACAGAGTAATACATTACATAGTGGGTTTAACAGAAGAAGCATGTCCTCTATGATGGACAGTTGCTCTGTCCTCTTCTACATTCAGCAGTATTCTCCCCGCCAAACACTGACACACACCTGGCTTTGCCGTGATCACGATCTCCATTTTTTGCAGCAGGTTTGTGATGTTACACAGGAAGCTGAACACTCTTTGGCACTCCAGCTCATCCCACCCTGCAATTAGTGTCTGTAAAGAATCAGCATAATATCATATAATATTGTTAATTCATTATTTCACTATTCTAGTAAAATGTTTTTCAGAAACTGGGATGGGACACAATAGTGAGGCAACGATGAGTCAGAATGAGCCTTAGGTTTTCCAACCTAATATACTCAATGTGTTTCCACCTGGAGTTTTTTTTTCCAGGGTTTTTGGTGTTCAGTATGGTTAGGGGTCTATACACTATAAGGTGTGAGCTGATATCCCATTTAGACTTGGTTTTAAAATGTACCCTGGGCAATCAGATCACAAGTGGACAGTGTTGAATACAAGTGTAAACGACCACCAAGACGGACTGTGATCCGATCAGAGAAACCACTTGCTGAGGTGGTCTGGGACGCATTTGATCACATACTGTATCTTTTGTAGTGGCAATGCTAATGTGCCCTGATGCGCCTCCGACAAGGCTGTTCAGAGAAAATATGTCATTGATGCATGATGTTGGGGTTGATTTGGTGAGAACATGCCAACGCTCAAAAAAATGCTGAGAAATGTCAGACACAAAACCATCAATGTATTGTAAAAGCTTTCATAATGCATCCATGGACAAATCTGACGCTCATCTTCTCCTTCTTCGTTGGTTAAGGAGTCTACTGGTACTTGTCAGGTAACAGACTGAAGTAATAACTGTACCTGTGACCTTAAGCAGACATGTCACAGTAGTAAAATATGAAAACCAGTGGTCAGCTGGGCACCTTGGAGGTGCATGTGTATTGACGTGGTGTAAAAAGGTGATGTGTCTCAGCTGTCCACTTATGTTCAGATCAGAAACACATTGTAGTACCAAGCCTGACTGTGCTGTGTTGTGCTTCCACGAGTTCACTGAGGCCTCTAGTTTCCTGCCAAAGCAAAGCTGGTGTAGCTTCAATCACAGTCTTTATGCAGTTTTCCTTGGTCACACATTTCCTTTTTTACACATTGATGTGATTAGTATTTTCCTGCCACGAATGAATGCTCCTACACTGAGGTGGGAGAAGAGGTGCAGCTTAGCCATTGTAGTGTAATTTTGGTGCTCAGTTTGACCTGAACTGCATTAGCATTAAACCCTGCTCAGACCACCTTTTATCGCAAACACACGTGGGTGGCAATTTCCCTAACCACAGTCTAGGTTGGGAGGCAAGAGAACAGGTACTCCAATGTATTTTAAGAGTCACACCAACTTAAAATAAACCTTTAAATCAAAGCCTGATTTGCTGAAATTCACTATGAATAATTTACTATGAAATGTCTGAATTATAAAATGTGTGATAATTTGGAAAGATAATTTTTAAATTAGATAAAACTAGATCTCTGTATGTGGCTACAAACATGTTTATGGTCAAATCTACAGACACTCATATTGTTTATGCACCCTTAGCTGTGTCTGATTTGTAATTTCTGATCATTACATTAAAGTTTCAATATATTACACAATTCTTTGATTTTGTGAGTCTCTCACCTGGAGGAAGACACCATAGCAGGAAAAACCGAAGCAGTCTGGAGCTAGACACTGCTCCAACATGAAGCAGGGAATCTGAAACAGATCAACAAGGCAGCTTTGTGAAACTATTGTGCCCATTCGGTACCATCTGAGCATAGATAATAAGACTGAACAATATAGCAATAGCACTACGATTTCATCTCCTGCAATGGTCACATTCCATATAATGTAATAGAATTAGCCAAAATAGGACCACACTAACTCCTTTATTGCTCGATAAACAATGAAACCAAGCCAATTCAGCTAAACATATAATGTTGTCCATTTGGTAAATAAAACTCTGGTGTAATCATTTTGGCTGCGGTGTTTGCACAGACGCTGTGCCTGCACAGCAAATGATTAATCAGTCATTCACAGAGTAGACTGAGTTGTTCAGTGGGTAAAAAGCACCTGATATGGATTTTTTTTTCAACTAACATTAACATGCTAACATCTTATATTCTCTGGCCCTGTCCTGTGAAAAGAAAAGGCACTACGTAAATAAAACACATCACAGTATTCTGTTCTTGTTTGTCCTCTCACCTGTCCCTTTCTTACCTGAGAAAACTTGCTAAACATAAACTTCAACCTCTCCTTTGTTGGTAACAGCAGAGTGCATCTCTTGAACAATAAACCTGAGACATTTAATACAAAAGCACATTATCAAATTTAAAAAATGCAACATTTTCTTTTCACTTCACATGGCAGCCTATCTCTAGTAATGTGTGCTGATCACTCAGATGGACTGTATGTTACATGCAGGGCGTGAATACCAGCAATAAGCCTGTCACTTACCCAGCTCTCTGTAGTGTCCAGTAGTGGATCTCTGTTCAAGGCAGTTGGAGTGGTGAAAGCTCTGGATGACCATTTTATTTTTCCAGGCCACGGTGGAGATATAGTCCACAATGTGTCTATTAATTTTTTTGGACACCATGCTGAACACGCTGATCTCAAGCACTGACAAACACAAACAGTGTCATTCACTAAATGTTTTATGTGTCTCAGTGAGCCTATTACAGTGCACTACTGAAACTGAAATTTCCATTTGTCACACTGCTCTTGCTTAGCTGACCTTGACCAAATTAAATAAGATTTAGGCCTGTGCAGCTGGCTCGCTGGCTGTCTCAGCTACTTTATACTGGGCAAGTTATGGTGGGAAGTGTGTTTTAAACACACTCTAAAGGACATGTACTCTTAACTGGGTATGCTACGAGCCCAGCCAATCACACTTACAAGACAGTTTATCCAGGATCATGTCAAAAATCTCAGACGGAAGCCTGTGGAAGAAGCTGGGGCTGGTTACACACTGGCTGCGGGTCACGATGGTTCTGGCTGGATGATGAGGCCTCTTATGTGTCGGCGTGTACTTCCCAACATTTCTGGGGGCTTTCCTTGCGTTTACCATCACCACTGAATTGACTGCATTCAAAGACATAAATCAAATTTGGCCTGGCAGTAAAAGAAACTCTTGAAGCAACCCTAGCCATAATGCAGACAGCCTCACTGGTTTCTCTCTCTCTCTCTGCGGGGCAGGAGAACCAACTATGCTAGCATTAAATCTAGCTAACCTAGCGTTGGTGTTACCTTTTTCCATTTATGCCGTCACAGACTGGACACATGATTAATAGTAATACAAGCTTGTTATAGCAAAATATCTTACCGTTATAATTAACGTAGCTTAAATGTCGACAGGCACGTAGCTAATGCCAGCTGTCAACTCAAGTCAGCTAGTTAAAGTTAGCCCGGCTCTGTTGACAGACACAACCGCGCGAAACAAACTCACTTGTTTGGTCTTTGCTGTAGGAAAGGAGAGAAAGTACAGGCCTACATAAAATACATTATTACTACATTATTAGTTAAAAGTATTCAAGCTGCCATGTCACTAACATAATATTAAAAGCAATGATGTATTACCTAATAATAGCTTTAGCTACTGGCTGTGGCTCATTAGCTAACTCATAGTAGTAAAGTGAAGTAAAAGTATCACTAAGTTATTTAGAAATATTCAGTTTCTCGTGTATGGTATGTTAGTGGGTCAGTAGTAGATCCGTGTTACAGTAGTAACAATATGCAGTAATGTGTGAGGAGCTCCAGGGAGGAGAATGGTGAAAACACTGAATTGGCTAAATAGACTATATGGAACTTAAACCATAAAAGGCTAAAAGTGTTTTCTGAAATATGAGTCTCCCATTATACAAAGTATTATAAAAAAAAAAAAGTGCAGTAGGTTACATTACATCCAAGTTTATAGCATAGATTATAGTCTTAAACCAATAATGTTTTTTTTCTCAAATATAAAATAATTCAATTTACAGCAGCTGTAAATATTGCACTATTTTCCTTATTGTTAAAAATGTATGCGTCGAACAGAAAATATTGCCGCTTTTCTGATCTCTGAACACATAAAAACACATATAAAAGGAAGTCTATACACTACATAATCATTACCCTCCCACACTGTGCACAAACAAATCAGCTATGCTCAGCTGCTAATCACAGGATTATTCTGCTTAACTAATACTATTAAGAGTTCCTCATTCAAAGGGTGTCTCCCACAGGCAGACCTTGGAGACGATCATCCCTCCACTACAGAGCTGAATACTGCCTGAGGGACCCAGCAGAAGGGCCAGGAAAATGCTCCTGTATACCAACAGGATGTCATGGTAGGCTAGGTTTGGGGCGCAGAGGGAGAGAGAAGAACTACACATCAAGAAGGTGGACTTAGCAGATGAACCCAGGATAAACAGCAGTTTTGAACGGCCTCACCTGCCATACAGTGTGTACCACAATATCCTCAAGTTAGCTTTGTGGTGTCGGCTGGCTGCAGTATTACTTTCACTGGTTAAATGTTTGCAGTTCATAAATCTGAATGTTTTTCTACAAGTCGGATGTAAGTTTTTCATTTATTTCACATTTTTATTTATTTATGAAATGCTTTCATTATTAATTATTCACAGACCTTGGAGATGCAGAGGGCTGTACTACTGAGACAAAAACAGCGCAGCCAGTGAGGACAATATCTCTTCTGTCTGTCTCTGTTTGGCAACACTGCTCTTTTCCTGGGTCCACATTTGACATTCGCCCTGTACATCCATCCAGAGCAACAAGCCAGGAGCACAACTGTCTCTCATGTATTCTCTGACACAATGCTCCTGACATTGATAGAGATAATTCCAGTGATGATGATGATGTTATCTAACCCTGGCCAGTCACAGTCCTGCAGCGCACACATAGTGCTTGTCTGTTAAGGCACAGGAAGAGACAGACGGAGCTGGTAAGTGTGGAATCAATGCCAATATCCCTGTTTATCTGGAACTTCTCCAAACACATCTCTGCATCAGAGGACGAGTGTGCCATCTGGACACCTGTGATCATGGGTCTGTAGTCCTCATGTAACCTTGTTGGTGAGTATTTAAATTTGAAGAGTTTTTACCAAGTATTAACATGTGAAAGCCTGTGTATATTTTATCATTTAGATGTTGCAGTTCCCATTAGCTCAAAATTAGGTGTTTTGCACAGTTGTTAGTGACTAAACTGGACTGATTTGAGGCCAAACAAAAGTGAAATATGATACATGTCACAGCTTTGCCTTTGTTCCTATTGCTTACTTGTTATTCCTTCAGTGTAGTCAATCATTAAGTTAGCACAATGAGGCTTGTATCTCTGATATTTTAAGAGGCCCCAGCAGTGCCAGGTCTAACACTGAACAATAATCAGGCTTCAGAAACAGCTTCTGTTCTCTGAGGAAGTCTAAACAATGGGTTTGTATACGCACAGATTGTTTTCTGTGGTATGAAATTTAAAGTCTGCTTCATTCTTGCAGGCACAAACAACAAGTAGTTTGGAATTTAAGAAGTATTATTTGTCAGTTTCAGAGACTTGGGTTGTCATTGGTGTAAAAATTGCCTTGCTCATTATTCAGGATATTTTCATCTAGAGTTCACTTTGTTGGAAACACTGAGAAGGAACAAAAGTAAATGCTTAACTACTTAAGGGTTTCACATTCTTTTACTGTGGAGGAGGAGGTTCTTTGTGAGCTACCTGGACAGCTGTGGGATTTTATATGTCCGTTTGTAAATGTAAAGTTGAGTGTCATGTAATCTCAAGTGAGAGATTACATTGTACATTTAAAGATTTGGCCAGTTATTACAACAGTCGCAACCATCTCTTTTTTGTCACAGTTTAGAGCCCAGCAGCTAGAAGTGCTCTGTCATCGATTCATTCAGTCCCTCTCGCTCTTAATACCCTACAGAGCTGTGAAAATTTTCAGGGTTCGTGGTTTATAACAGTACTCTCAGCTTGGGCAGTTTCTGTAAATTTTTAATTTCTCCTCTCACTCTCCCCTTTCCTGAGTGCTGGCAGAGATCTGAACAAATAGCCTGCTGTGGTTTGCCCTCCAGAGGACAGCGTTAAACAGGTGAAGCCGAACACTGCTCTCATTAGTTACAGATGCAGTCACCTGCCACCCACCAGAGACTGACTCCAGAATACTGAAAACTTCCGCAGCTATTTCTGCTCACAATCCGGAGACACTTGAGGAATGGCTCAGACTATGTGACTGAATGTAAGCTCAGTGGAATTTACTATACTGCTGGGGAGCAAAGCAGAAAGCCATGTCCTCAACCTGGGAGAGTGTGGTTCTAAAAGTGTTTCTTTTTTTGTGTGATGATTTCTTGCACATATTTAAAGTAGTTTCTTTGCACTGATTTTCATTTAGCTTATGATACTTGTGGATCCTATGTATATTTATGAGTCTAAATAGTGGCATATGCACTTTGAGACATGCAAATGCCCATCAACTTTGATTTTCAAACTACTCATATAACTTTGTATTTTGCAGTTTGAGCATCTGCTCACATGAACCAATCATGGCCAGCATGGTATCTCAGCTCCTTGGCTTCTTCTTAGGGATCCTGGGGTTTGTGGGAACAGCAGTTGCGACTCTGCTTCCCCAGTGGCGCGGCACAACCTTTATGAGCTCTAACATCATCACAGCCACTTCCTACATGAAAGGCCTGTGGATGGAGTGTGTGTGGCACAGCACTGGTATTTACCAGTGTGAGCTGTACAGATCTCTCCTGGCACTGCCACCTGACCTACAGGTACTGTGCAGTCACCATCTGACATAAAACTAACTTGCCAAGTACATGTATTTCACCAATCTATTATCAAACAAACAAACATTCTCTCATTTCCTAATGATGATGTGAGCATTCGCTGCCATTCCCTGTTCTATACTAAATAACATGAACAATTTAAGACACTGGCTCTGTCCGTGAAATTAGAATGGAAATGTTTGCCCGTTTTCTGACATTTTACAAACTGATCTCATTTCTTTCTTTCTCTCAACACCTTTTCAGCTCTTCAATTTGCCAAGGAAGTTATTATTCTAATTAGCTTTTCACATTATTTGTAGCCCCAATTCTGACTACATGTGTAATTTTAGAAAGCAGAATGTTCCCAGATTGATAGATAGAAGGCTGGGAGAATGTCCTGGCTACAGCAGAGTACGGTTTTCACCCTTCTGCTTTGTTGACACTTGCTTTATTTACTCATTGTTTGGGGACCCACAGACCCTAACAATAACTGACCTCGTTACAACAGAATATGCATAAAAGTATTATAAACTAACAGTATTGGCAGCTTTTGCTTTGGCCCAAGCTAAGTTTTATGAAGGTGACAAAATAAAGAAGTGAGGCCTTGTGATTATACCTATCTTATAATGTGATGTTACTTATAGCAGCCTATGTTTTGAATCAGGTAGATCCCCGAGTAGCCTTAAACTTTATCAGACATTGTCTGAACAAACTGTTATGAAACCTCAATTACAGAAATCCAACACATATCTGGTGTTGCGAGGGGTTGTGCTCTGCAAAAATGCACTAATAACAAATATGAAGCAGTGGAAGTCTATTATATTTAACCAAGCTGGCATCTTGGAGACCCCAGACACAAGTATTGCATCATTTTATGTAGCAAACATTTGAAACATCAACAATTCAAAATCATGTTTTTAAACAATTTGATAATGTCATCAAGCATCAAGGCAATGAAACCATGTTACGCATGTTTTTTTTAACTTTTTTTTTACATAGCAGCCCAAACAGGATTAATCCAAATAGTAACAGTGCTTGTCTATTCTCCTCCACATCAGGCAGCCCGGGCACTGATGGTGCTCTCCTGCGTCACCTCAGTCCTTGCATCTCTGGTGTCTGTGATGGGGATGAAGTGTACCCGCTTTGTCCACAGCCCGCTGATGAAGTCTCTGCTGGCACTGAGTGGGGGGATTTGTTTTCTCTGTGCTGGCCTGCTCTGCCTGGTCACTGTGTCCTGGACCACCAACGATGTCATGATGGATTTCTATGACCCCTTCCTTCCCCTTGGGTTGAAGTATGAGATTGGCCTGGCTGTGTACCTTGGCTACGCCTCAGCCTGCCTCAATCTGACCGGAGGAATGGTGCTGTGCTGGAGCAGCAGTGGTGACAGGTCTCGGTGTCCCTCCCATATGGATAGGAATCAATCACCTCCCCCTGCATTCAACAACATATATCCCCCTACTCCACTATACAAGTCCTCTGATGCCCAGAAGGACAATCATGCTCCTTCTATTTGTGCCCCTTCCAGCAGTGGCTACAGGCTCAATAACTATGTCTAAGACTGGGCGTGATATTAACACATTTATTTTTAATATTCTTCTTCCATACCCTGAAAACAGACAGAAAGGGAAAAATCACATTATCGTATCTGACCAAGTATCAGCTGCCACAACTGAAAGCATATCACAGTTTGACAAACTCCCAGGCTTTCCTCTAACTTTAAGGTGACCAGATCAGAGAGCTAAACACTAAAACCACCCTGCTGCTATGTACCTGAATGACCACAAGGTGGCAACATATTCCTGCAAATAGTCCACGTTTTGTGCTGCAACACTAATGTTAATGGATAACCCAGTGTTTTGTCACTTCATTGTTGTAGCCTACTTTCTAGATGAGATCAACTCTTTCTGAAAGACTGCAAATACATCAGGAATTCTAAAGCAAACAGACTGTATGCACTGTCAGCGCTCTGTGTCCTTATATAATTTTAATGCCAAAGAAAATAAACAGGCTAAATAAAAAATAAAAAGACCCTATAAATGGTCAAATTTGTTTTTCCACAGTAGACATTTTTAAATGTCAAAGTAGCAGCACAGCTGCAACAGCCTTACATGGTCGCGTCATTCCACTTACATGCGTCACCGCACTAGTCCAGGTTTTGTTCATGCTCACTTATTGACCAGGCTTTTTGAGATGGAACAGGCTTATTGCTCTAAACCTAAACGAAACAATATTAGTTCCACTAGTGCTTTTCTTGCTGTGACATAGAGACTGTACTATACGTTTCCGGTTCACCTGCTGAAATCCCTAACACAGAGTCGAACTAAACTTGAAAATGCCACTGGATGGCGACAAAGGTCTTTTGACAAGGAGAGCATTGTTTGGTAGATCAGGAACGAACTGGCAGTCGGATGTAGATTGTATTGGATAATATCAAGAACAGTACTAACATGCACATTATGGATCATTAAGCCATATATGTGAAGTGAAAATAATCATCTTGTGGATGCTGAAGTTATTTGTAACTCCACTGAGGCTTTCCGGGCTGGACTGTCTGTGTTTCTGAGCCTGTTTGCCAGAAAACCCTCCAATTAGAGTTAGCTTCTGTCTCGCAGCCTGCCAGCCCCTCAGACGCTCAATTAGAGGACGTGTCACGATTCAAACAAGTCACTTTTCTTATTTTCAGCAGTCAGACTGCTCAGCAGCTTCGTTTGCATCAAGGAGATCAATGATGTTACTAGTAAAGAGCAACAATGAATCGGTTTAGTTTTAGTGCACTGAAGATTATGATTTCTTATGGGAACCATTTAATATTACCTACACACAAATTCTACAAAGATTAGTGAAATGTTTATGTATTTCTTTAGCTTTTTTTGTAAAAATATTAGGGGACTGTCACATCAAAACGAGCTTTAATGTTGAAGTTATAATGAGAGAATTCATCTACTCTCAAATCACACCAAAGCTAATGACAAATTATAATAAGACCACGAACTAAATGTTCACTGTGTAGGACCCCAGATGCATTCATTATCTATACCGCTCATCCCGGAGAGGGTCGCGGGGGGCTGGAGCCAGCTGACACTGGGCGAGAGGCGGGGGGCACTCTGGACAGGGCGTCAGGCTATTCCCCGGCTACTGTGTAGGACCCCAGATGCATTCATTATCTATACCGCTCATCCCGGAGAGGGTCGCGGGGGGCTGGAGCCAGCTGACACTGGGCGAGAGGCGGGGTCCACTCTGGACAGGTCGTCAGTCTATCACCGGGCTGTGCATGAATAATTTTCTAATTTTAGATAATGGCAATAATAAAGTAGAATGTTTCTGTTGCAGCACTTCCGTTTCACATTTCAGTACCACGGAGAGCTCCCAGGGACCTTCATAGTGCAGCACTTATAGCAACACATTTGGTATGATAATAAATGATAGTTGAAGGGTTTGTAGTTCCTTGATTACTCAGGTTCTACTTGTGGTTTGAAGGCACTCTTTGAGAGGTAACGACTTGTGAGAGGTAAATATAGTTGGCATCTATTGTCCCTTATATGGTGAGTGTGCTAAAAGTAAGCAAAAATACTCTGAGTCACCAGTCACTGCTTCATTTTTGATTTATGTCTCTATACAAGTTGATTTGAAAGTTGTCTTGATCAACAAACTTGGAAGTGTTGTTTTTGGACAATACACAGCGTTAAGTTGCATAGTGTAAAATAAGTCATAAGATAAAAACGTAAATCTATGCAGGCTTACGTCCTCGACATTGTCAACGTACACCCAGCGTTTGCAGAATAAACTCAATGCTTTAATTGTGGAGCAGGCGGGGACCTGCACACGATCGTAAATCAGGCCTGAAATGTAACCTGGCGAAGTAAAGGTTTCATCTATTGCCAATATTATATTACGATATTGGAAAGCTTTCCCGGAGAGGTTGTGCGTCATGCCACTCTCTATAAGGTGCTATTTTCGTCCTACCCTGGAAGACATTCATCCACCCTATACCCACCCTGACAGCACCCAATAAACCCACCCCTCCCATTCATCTCCCTTCCTCCACCCACCTCCACCCTCTCTCCCCGTGGCTCGGTCTTTCCTTCTCCCTCTCTCTTTCCGACCAGCACCGGTAACTTAAAAATCACATAGGAGAATTGTGTTTGTTTGTCCAAGGGGATTACTTTGTGCCAGATTAATATTTTACCAGCAAAATCGTCTTTGACAATTTTTAAACCTTCTTTTGTAGACCGTGCTCCTGTAATCTCTTTAGACCTGTTTCTCTAAAGGAAAGGTAAGATGATATCAGTTTCTGAGTTTATCGTCTTTGACCAATGTAACTGCATTTGACTGTGGTGGTAGGTGCTGATTGAAAGACAGATCAATATTCCTGGAACCGTGGTGTCAACGTAGCTGAAAACCTCAGGTTTGATTCTAGTGATGTAGCATATCGGACAGGAAACCCTTATCCATGCGTTTTAGGTCTCTTTTGGTTAATGGTTCGCAGTTTTTGACTGTGCCTCAAGTCTCGGAAGAATTAATGGACTTTTACGCACTACAGCGCTAAAGGCAACTAAAGCGTATTGGTCCATATTTCTTTATATTTTACACTTGGTTGCACTGTAACCTCTAAACGTTTAGAATAAAATGAGAATTAGTAGATATAGTGTAAGGAAGCGGGCACAATAATTGGAGTACGCAGTCTCTGTAATTAAAGGGAGGCAGCAAAGCGCGCGTAAAACCAACATGGACAACAAGACGTTAATAATTTGTGGACTCCCATGATCAATACCTCTATTTTTCTGATTCATATCCTGTGAATGGATGACAAATGACAGAGTTCCTCTGCCTCTGCTACCTGCTTCAGTTGGATACAGTAAGACATGGGCCACTCTTCATAGCGTTTACTGAACAAGTCCAAAATATAATTTTTTTAAATTATTGTAATATTGAGACTGGCACAAAATTATTTTTGAATTTTAAAATGTAATTCTACACGCGCTGGTCGTTTGTCTAATAATTTCTGATTTGCGTAATGGTCAACGGGAAGGTATGGAGTCTAGCCTATAAAAGCGGTTGGATTCTGGGAGTTTGTCACACTTTTGTCTGACAATTTGACATAACTGAGCGCTGTTACTACGAACAGCTCCTAACAGACATTTTTTGGATGGAATATTTGGGGTTTTATTTCTTGTGAAGTGTTAATTGTTGGTGTCTTTAACTGTTGATTGCAAGAATTGGAACTGATTATTTGTAACATTTTCTCCTATTATGATTCCACCTTTGAATTTTACACTTGTAAAAGCTTCCGTTTAAGTTTGGGTTTAAAGCTAATCTCAGAACGGTCATATGATGGACATTTCAGCAAGGGTTAAGATCGTTTGTGTGTAGAAAACGTGATTTAAAATTTTTATAGTCTCTAACTGTAAGGAAGGTATTAGGCATCTGTTGGTTACATGCAAAGTGTGGTCACCGTACACACCTTACAGTGGGAAGCCTACAAATAAAATCTTGTAGCTTTTTTATTATTGTTGTTTTTGGGTTGTAATCATAGAAAGCTGACTTTGCGTTCAGTTCCTTTCATATGTGTTTAGTCATACTGCATAATATGTATTAAAGCTCTAGAACTACAGTCTGTCCGTGAATAAAGTTGATCAAATTGATGTTGTAGAAGGGGAGGATTCGGTATCATTATTATTATTATTATTATTATTGGATCAAAGACAAATGCAGTGAATATAAATGTGTTTCTTTCTTTGTGTCTTCCAAGTTCCATCCATGAGATTCGAGCTCTCCGCGCGCAATAGCACTTGATCTCGGCGGGAGGAAGGTGACGGAAGGAATATGGCCATCCACGCCGGGGGTCTCGTGGCTATCGTAGTCTTCTATGTCCTGATTCTGTTCGTTGGAATCTGGGCCGCGTGGAAAAATAAGAACTCTGGAGTTGGCAAGGACGGAGACCGAAGCGAGAGAATCATGGTCGGGGGAAGGGATATCGGATTGTTCGTGGGTGGATTCACAATGACTGGTGAGTTGGTCTAACTACCGAGTCTTAGAATGTTTCTTTGTTGGTTGTTGCTCAACGTGACCGTTGTGCGTATTCTGTCACATCTGGGCGCCATATGAGTTGAGAAAAAGACAATAAGGAGTTGTAACTCAACGTCACACTTCAGAACACGTAAAGCGCTTAGGCAACCTGGCATGCACCAAACTAGTGTTTCAGAAAAGTCTAGTCTTTTTTTTTACCAACGTAAGTTATTTTGTTTGTTTGTTTGGTTTCAGCCACTTGGGTGGGTGGTGGCTACATCAATGGGACAGCAGAGTATGTCTACTTGCCAGACTTTGGCCTGGCCTGGGCGCAGGCACCCTTTGGTTATGCACTCAGTCTGGTTGTAGGTAAGAACCAGTGTTTCAGTACAAGTCCTTTAAAGCAAGCATATACAGTAAGAATGCTGGAACTGGTGGTACCTTTCATTTTAAAGTCTGCTGTTCTGTAGACTCAGTATATACTGTATTATACATATTATACATAATATTATACAACTTCATTGCTGCAGGCTTTGTAAAAAAAAAAAAAAACCTTTCTAAAATGTTTAGTTTGCTATTTTTTCCTACCTTACCATAATTTCTGACATCATTCAGGTGGCCTTTTCTTTGCCAAGCCAATGCGATCTCGTGGATACGTCACCATGCTGGATCCATTCCAGCAGCTTTATGGAAAAAGGATGGGAGGCCTGCTCTTCATACCTGCACTCATGGGAGAAATGTTCTGGTCTGCGGCCATTTTATCTGCCCTGGGTAATTATTCATTGAACATCGTCTAAACTCATTATTTTATACCATATCAAGTTAACTAACTGTGTCTGCTGAACTGAATGCATTGCTCTGCAGGTGCCACTCTGAGTGTGATTGTGGACATAAACATCAACATGTCGGTGGTGATCTCAGCTCTGATAGCTATCTTCTACACGCTTGTTGGAGGACTCTACTCTGTGGCATACACAGATGTGGTCCAGCTGTTCTGTATCTTTGTGGGCTTGGTGAGTGTGGAATAAACATCATATCCAACCAGGGACACAAATAATAAGAAACACTGCAGTACAGAATGATTAAATTGGTAACAGGCATGAGAAATCTGATCACAATGATGATTCATATTTATTTAAAAAATGTATTTGTCATTTTATCAACGGTAGAATACATTGTTCAATTGTATGAAAGTCTTATCATATAGTAAAGTTTTAATAAATACTACCTAAGAATTTATTTTCCTACTTCTAAATTGGTTGCTTATTTAGTCATGGCTATTTAGTGTTACAGAAAAATACTTATAACTTGAAACAAAGCCTTCAAGGGCTGTTAAAGACACCAGCCTACAGTATTCCTAGTATTTCAAATATGCTAAATATTTTGCAGCAAATGATAACACTTGTTAAAGGCCAAACTCTGCAGCAATAATAATATTTGCATTCTGATGCCCTCGTGTCCATCAGTGGATCAGCGTGCCTTTTGCCCTGTCCAATCCTGCTGTGTCGGACATCAGTGTTTCAGCCAAGAAAACAATCTACCAGTCACCGTGGCTGGGGAAGATTGATCCTGGGGACAGATGGCTCTGGGCAGACAACTTCTGTTTGCTGGTAGTTCAGAACTTTTCTTAGAAGATTCATGAGTAGATTACTGTCAAGTCAATAACATATGCAGTTTGATGGCATTTTTCTGAGATACTGGTTTTCTATAAAGGAGAATATCAATTTATTAGAAGTAGTAAGATCAGTAGTGTGTGTTGGGGTTTGTATTTACTATAGCTTTTCTGTTTCTAGATATTGGGAGGGATTCCCTGGCAGGTCTATTTTCAGCGGGTCCTTTCTGCTTCTTCAGCTACCTACGCTCAGGTCCTCTCCTTCCTCGCTGCCTTCGGCTGCTTGGTCATGGCCGTCCCTTCAGTCCTCATTGGAGCTATAGGGGCTTCTACTAGTAAATATACACACAATCACATGAATATGTACTGTACTAGATTTAAAACTATATTGTACATACGCTCTAATAATCTTAAAATATAACAAATTCAAGCCTGTCACTTTAGAACATGTGGAAGCTGTTCAGGATTTAACAACAGCTCTGTTTAGTGTTATTCATGCTTTTTGTGTTTATTCAAATAGATTTCAACACTGATGCAGTTACAGTGCCTTGCAAAAGTATTCGGCCCCCTTGAACTTTGCGACCTTTTGCCACATTTCAGGCTTCAAACATAAAGATATAAAACTGTAATTTTTTGTGAAGAATCAACAACAAGTGGGACACAATCATGAAGTGGAACAAAATTTACTGGATATGTCAAACTTTTTTAACAAATAAAAAACTGAAAAATTGGCCGTGCAAAATTATTCAGCCCCCTTAAGTTAATACTTTGTAGCGCCACCTTTTGCTCCGATTACAGCTGTAAGTCGCTTGGGGTATGTCTCTATCAGTTTTGCACATCGAGAGACTGAAATTTTTGCCCATGCCTCCTTGCAAAACAGCTCGAGCTCAGTGAGGTTGGATGGAGAGCATTTGTGAACAGCAGTTTTCAGTTCTTTCCACAGATTCTCGATTGGATTCAGGTCTGGACTTTGACTTGGCCATTCTAACACCTGGATATGTTTATTTGGGAACCATTCCATTGTAGATTTTGCTTTATGTTTTGGATCATTGCCTTGTTGGAAGACAAATCTCCGTCCCAGTCTCAGGTCGTTTGCAGACTCCATCAGGTTTCCTTCCAGAATGGTCCTGTATTTGGCTCCATCCATCTTCCCATCAATTTTAACCATCTTCCCTGTCCCTGCTGAAGAAAAGCAGGCCCAAACCAGGATGCTGCCACCACCATGTTTGACAGTGGGGATGGTGTGTTCAGGGTGATGAGCTGTGTTGCTTTTACGCCAAACATAACGTTTTGCATTGTTGCCAAAAAGTTCGATTTTGGTTTCATCTGACCAGAGCACCTTCTTCCACATGTTTGGTGTGTCTCCCAGGTGGCTTGTGGCAAACTTTAAACGACACTTTTTATGGATATCTTTAAGAAATGGCTTTCTTCTTGCCACTCTTCCATAAAGGCCAGATTTGTGCAGTATACGACTGATTGTTGTCCTATGGACAGAGTCTCCCACCTCAGCTGTAGATCTCTGCAGTTCATCCAGAGTGATCATGGGCCTCTTGGCTGCATCTCTGATCAGTCTTCTCCTTGTATGAGCTGAAAGTTTAGAGGGACGGCCAGGTCTTGGTAGATTTGCAGTGGTCTGATACTCCTTCCATTTCAATATTATCGCTTGCACAGTGCTCCTTGGGATGTTTAAAGCTTGGGAAATCTTTTTGTATCCAAATCCGGCTTTAAACTTCTCCACAACAGTATCTCGGACCTGCCTGGTGTGTTCCTTGTTCTTCATGATGCTCTCTGCACTTTAAACGGACCTCTGAGACTATCACAGTGCAGGTGCATTTATACGGAGACTTGATTACACACAGGTGGATTCTATTTATCATCATTAGTCATTTAGGTCAACATTGGATCATTCAGAGATCCTCACTGAACTTCTGGAGAGAGTTTGCTGCACTGAAAGTAAAGGGGCTGAATAATTTTGCACGCCCAATTATTCAGTTTTTTATTTGTTAAAAAAGTTTGAAATATCCAATAAATTTCATTCCACTTCATGATTGTGTCCCACTTGTTGTTGATTCTTCACAAAAAATTACAGTTTTATATCTTTATGTTTGAAGCCTGAAATGTGGCAAAAGGTCGCAAAGTTCAAGGGGGCCGAATACTTTCGCAAGGCACTGTAAATACAGTTTAGTTTAAAGCTTATAAAGAGAAAAATGAGCAAACACAAGTATCACCCAGTATATTAAGCTTCATACCTACACAGACACTGTTTTGTCTGGATTGCAGCTGTTAAATCAGATTGCTCAGATGAACACTGATCCATGTATACACCCAAACACATACAATGATCAAGCAGTTAATGAAACATCACAAGATGATCAACACATCAAGAAATCTGAGCCTTGTTTAAAATAGGCAAATGCAATCAAAGAGAGTCCAATGCCTTCCTGGGTTGTTTACACCCCAGATGCCTTTTTTTTCTGATGTGTAAATGTAGATGCATACAGTGTTTGGAAAGTAAACAACAGCAGACGGCTCCGATGATGATGGGCAGAAGAGAGAGCCATCAGACCGTGCTGGTTTAGTGAATATTACATCTGAAGAGGAGATAATTAATCTGGTCCCACTGAAGACATTTCATGTAAAATCAGCACTAATCAGTTTCTGCTACAGCATATGTGTTTTAGCACATGTGAAGCCTTTTTATTTATATCCACAGGAAGTATTATTGTACATCAAACCTTTTGAATGATTACCTAAGAGATCGGTACAGTCATTTCTACCACTTAGTCCCTGAACAGGGTCACGGGGGGAGGGGGGCCGGAGCCAATCCCGGCTGGCAATCGGGCGAAGGCGGGGTGCACCCTGGACAGGTCGCCAATCCATCGCAGGGCTGAGATCGGTACAAAAATTGAAAAATAATCAGTCTTCCATTTAAAAATTGACAGGTTGGCCAGGAACAAAATTGTATTAATTTCAGTGTAGGACCACGTGCCAAGTACAATGTGCTCAACTTTACCTATGTTGTAATGTTTCTTTTTTTTTTTACTGTTTCTCGTTTTCTCCTTTAGATTGGAATCAAACAACTTATGGGTCCCTTCCACCTAAGGATAAGGATGAATCGGACATGATTCTTCCCATAGTGCTTCAGCACCTCTGCCCGCCCTACGTTTCCTTCTTTGGTCTAGGGGCAGTGTCAGCCGCGGTCATGTCGTCAGCGGACTCATCAATTCTCTCAGCCAGTTCCATGTTTGCCAGAAACATCTATCAGCTCGCCTTCCGCCAGTCGGTAAGGGTGCAAACAACGAAACTAACAGGCACCTGTGAAGTTTTAGTCAGGGGTTGCAAGCATCAGTCTGTTAATCAATAAATCAATTTTGGTTTATAAATGTGTCCCATTTTGTCTTGAAACAAAACAGCAGCACAAATTGAATCTGCACTTACTGTACTTGGTGCACATATAAAACCAGACCAAAAATAACGTTAAAACAGACAAGCTCAAAATTAAAAGGCCTAGAAAATGAAAATGTTTCAAAATTTTTGTAGTTTGTGAATGAATCTATAGATAATCTACGTGATAACGTATTAAAACTGAATAAATACTGAATAGACGGACACAAAATTAGATACTACAAACTTTGTTGATCCCTGTCTTTTTATGAGACATTTTCTGTATAGGCATGGTTTTTATTTTGTTTTATTTCGACATATCGTCATACTGTACCTCCCCATTGTCGCACTTGTCTTCCCCACATGGTCTGCTTCCATCTTCACTCTGTTTTATCCTTTCTCCTCCAGGCCTCAGATCGAGAGATTGTTTGGGTGATGCGCCTGACTATCTTTGTATTCGGAGCTTTCGCCACTGCTATGGCGTTGTTAACAGGATCAGTGTATGGCCTGTGGTATCTCAGCTCTGATCTGGTTTACGTCATCATCTTTCCCCAGCTTCTCAGTGTGTTATTCATCAAGGGCACAAATACCTATGGCTCTGTAGCCGGCTATATTTTTGGCCTTTTGCTGCGCATTGGTGGAGGGGAGCCCTACCTTAAGCTCCCTCCATTCATCTACTACCCAGGCTGGGTGACCCAGGAGAGGATCCACCACCTCACTGGAGATGTAGAATATTTTATCCAGCAGAGGTTCCCATTCAAGTCTGTGTCCATGGTGGCATCCTTCATTGCAAATGTGACCTTTTCTTACCTGGCAAAGTACCTGTTTGAAAGTGGTATGCTGTCACACAAGTACGACTTCCTGGATGCTGTGGTGTCCAGGCATAGCAAGGAGATCATGGACAAGGCCACGCTAGTGAGCAACCATGATAATATCATTCTTTCAGAGATGGCACCCGTCAAACAGGCCTTGAGTGCATCACTCGCTGGGACCTTCACCAATACTGAGGTCCTCAGTGATGATGGGGCATCCAGTCCAGAGGCTTTTCACAATGAAAACTAGACAACAAATGCACAAAGAAAACTGGAACAAAGGAATTTGAAGAAGAAGGAATCATAAAAGAGGGATCAACATTCTTCAGGAAACTTGCCACTGCCACACTGGAAGCCAAATCAACAGAAATCTGCTTTGGCTTTCAAGTGACGCTGCAAGTTTGTTGTATGCTGATGACATGGTGCCACCTTCTTTGTTGAGATTCCTTGTCTGGGAACCAGAGGTTGACTGTCACTCAGCTGTGTTAAGCATCATTCTTGTCTTTTTATTGTGACTGTGAATCTAAAACCACTCCAACCATTTCAATTTAAGTGCTGCTACAGTGATCGCAGGAACTTTCAGGTTTGTGGTGGGTCAAGAGAATAGTGCAATATCTAACCAAGGAATTGTGTCTACATAGCAGTGTGCATGTGTGTCAATCTACATGTCCCAGGTGAATGGTCCAGAGCTATTTTTCAGTTTTGAGTTTATGTGATACATTTATTAATAGAGCAATAATATTTTTAGGATCTTTTTTGCACAGATCAATACTTTATATTTCATTTTCAGGTTAATGTCATCATTTTTAACTTGCAAACCAGTAGATATTTTTATGCATCTTATGCTGTGTGTTCACCTTGCTCTTAATCTTCTTGTAATACTTGTTAATTCAAAACACAGAAACTGTCAAATTAAAAGCCTCACACCACCATAAAATTACCAAAACACAGGATTAGGCCAAGGATCAGGTTGATTTCGAATGATTCGGCAAAATACCATTTTACATTCAGTCGCCAGATTTTTTTGACATTCACTACCAGCCCTTTAAAAATGTATTATTTCTACAATACGCCACATGTTGCAACTACACTATGGATGCTGTATAATCAGTATAAAATGTGCCATAACTGATTCTTGGTCTGCTTAGTGGCATTGCAAAAAATGACCCCATGAAGTTATTGCTGTCAAACATGCTAATTTACACACCAAGCAGATATGGAGAAACAATTTGAAATTGTGTTTTTGTTTCCATGCTGAAAGTAATTTCAGTGTTCACTTCCTTTTAGCTCTGTTTTGTTCTCCACCAACTCTTGAATGAAATATCCGATTCTTCAGCCACTAAATGCTCCAAAATGCTTATCAGCTTTGACAGGTAGTGTGCAGTGAGTTTATCAAAGCTTTTTGCTGCATCAAACACATTAAACACACACTTTTGGCCTCCATATACTGTATTTGGCACAGAACATTGGCACTGAATGTAAAACCTATTGCAGAGTCATCGTTCCACAGGAGCCTCAGCTTTGATTTCACACTACCCTGATATTATGAATATCCCATTTAAACCATGCAATAGTTTTATAGATTTTTGAACCTTTTTCTCTGTGCACCTTCCAGGTAGCCACTGGCTTCCATTCATTTTCATATGTTATGAAAATCAACCTGCAATCTTTGTTTTTCCTCAAACTTATGCAGACATCTTTAAATTAACTCAGTTTTCATCTACAACTGCACATAGCAGTAAAATTCCCCAAAAAAGCACACCTGGTGTTTATTTTACAAGTTTATGTTTTATATAGAAATCAATGGAAACCAATCGCTACCTGGACGGCATGAAAATTCAGAAAGCTAAAACACTACACAAAAGCAAGTCTTCAAAATGACACTGTACAGTTTACATACTTAAATAACAACACTGATATTATTTTAAAAGTTCTACGGTCCTTTAAAAATGTTAAATGATCTGACAGAAACTATTTTGAAATACTGTATACCTGTGTGAGCGCCTACAGTATGATGGTGTGATTGGCCATCCTAAACCTGTATTGACTGTCCAGCCACAGCAGGTTAGTGGAGACAGGAAGGGATGGTGTCAGTAGCACCGGTCAGTATTGATCGAATCCACAGTAAATTAGCCCTCAGCACATTTGATTAATGCTGCAAAGGGTTTCAAGGCTGCAGTTTGTTAGGTTTTACAGTGTGCTACATGCAGAGATGAAGACTTGAAACGTTACTGCCTAAGCTCTGTCATACATGAATTCCCCACTCCCTGTTCTTACACTGCTGTTCTGGACACAGAGAAGCAAGTACCTTCAAGCAGTGATTTTAGCTTTGATAAGTGTTAATATTGTCCAGTTGACCTCTCTGTGTCTATCTCCTCTCAGCATTGTTGTGGTTTGTTGGTGTCTTTTTGAATTTATAGACTTGCCTTAATTCACAGGTGAGGGGTAAAAAAAAGAGAAGGATCAGGAATACAGCTGCAAAAGTGACAACTACTACAAAAAGGTCAAGGATGAGGGTAGCAATATACTGTGTTTTATTACTGTCAACAGTTAATACCAATCCAGACCAAAACCAA